TAGGCATCCCCAAGACAACTGCTATCTAAGCCTGGATGTTTGACTCAGTGAAGGGCCTCTTTGTGGTGAGGCTAGTTTGATTTTCTTACTTTCGTTTATATCCAATGAACCCTAATGCTGAGACCTTTCCTTTTTTCATTTGGTTTCATGTAAATCAGCTTTAATGTGTTTGGGTGACTTTCAGGTCCCACTCGTTGTTCCTTTGCCCCTGCCTTTTCCTTTATAGCTCTCTGTGGCCTCTCTGCGTATGTGTGCAGAGCTCTCTGCAATCTTTACAAGCACTGCCCGCACCCAGCCCTCTCTGCACCCTGGATGGGTGCTCTACTACCACCCACAGCCACATTATCTCCTGTAAGTCCATTCCTCATTCTCACCCGCTTGTCGAGCCTGCATGTCCTTCTTTAGAAGACTGTAGATTCATTGGAGGGCAAGAATCTCTTTATCCCAATTCCTATTGCTTAATACCACAATTCACACTCAATACACCTCCATAAATATTTGCTAAATAAATCATATAAGAATTCCCATTTCTCTGGCAGGTGATCCCTGATCCATGAGAAGACAATAAGTAAATGTCCTTTTATTCCTTTGCTGGCACAATTGGCAGCTCTCTGACTTCTCTTGCCAGTTCACAATATGTCCTTCTCCCTCTCTTTGTGTCAACATCAGTACTCTACAGTGCATTGCCCTGAGAGGCGATTGCTGAGTGGGAGGTAGGAGAGGGTGTGATGGTGCTTTTACCTCCTCATACACATCATTGCCTCCTCTCCAACCAATCCAAGTACTTTTACAATCTGAGTTAAAGCTGGTGTTGGCATTGCCTTTGCGCCTTGGACAGGAGACCTCTTCCTCTGTAGGAAATTGGGAATCACTCCTTACAGTGTTTATATTTGATCCAGGTAATTAGTCAATGTAAGTTATTTAATTAATGCGTCTATGGCACTCTCTAAATGCTAGTTTTTTTTTCTGAGCATTTTAATCATATTAACTAGTTCTTCCTCATAATAACCTGGTCATATAGATATGACCACAAATGGTCCCAAGTTACAGGGGTTCAACTGAAGATTTCCTACTTTAGAATAGTGTTGTAGTGAATATATGTATTCAGTAGAACCTGGATTTGACTACCCATACAACGATTCCATTTTTCTCTTTCAGTATACTATTCAATGAATTACATGAGAAAGTCAATACTTTACTATAAAATAGGCTCTGTATTAGATAATTTTGTCCACTGTAGACTAATGTAAGTGTTCTGAACACATTTAATGAGGGCTAGACTAAGCTACAATGTTCCGTAGGTTAGGTTTATTAAATACATTTTCTAGTCAGTGATATTTTAAACTCACAATAGGTTTTTTGGTATGTAACCCTATTATAAGTCAAGGAGCATCTGTATTACTATTAACCATATTTTACAGATGAGGATATGAGGATACAGAATAATTAAGGGACTTGCCCAAGGTGTCACAACAATTGGTGGCTAACTAAACTGGAATTCAAAAATAGAAGGCTCACTCCGGAACACGTGTCCTAACCACTGCTGCCTCTACTGTGGCCAGGGCAGGGTCTATGCTACCTGTCTTAGCCCTTCAAATCTGAGTTGACTTTTTATCAGTGTATTTATTTATTTATTTTGAGAGAGAGAGAGAGAGAGGGAGAGAGAAGCACCCTCAATAGAGTTTCACGCTGTAATCCCTCTCACAGCCTTTCAGCCAACCAGGATCACTGGGAACAGTGAGGTCTCCTGGACCTAACCTACCTAGCATGTGGACATGTGCTTAATAAGTGTTTCTGAGCTCGTTGATTCATTTACTATGGCTAGAATACAGGTTCATTTGTGTCATTCTAAACAGTTCATTGTTCATATTGTAATCAATGCCAGTCCTGAGATTTGGCTCCTCAAAATATATTTTCAAACAACCCAGGAACTATGCCAAGAATTAACTCTAATTACACATTGTACCGGTTTTGAGTATGAGAGATGACTAGAAGGCAAAATGTGTGTTATTTAAAATGATCAAACTTGGGAACCAGCAGTTAGCATAATGGCTATGTCGCTGGACTCCCAGTAGTCTACCGCGTTTTGCATCCCGGACCCGGTGGCTTAGAACTCACGCTGGGCATGTGTGTGTGCATGCCCAAGATCCCGAGAGGAGAATGGAGGAGAAGGGATTGTGGCATGACCATCCCCCCAGGGGGTGATTTCTCACTTTCTGTCTCTATGTCTCTCTCTGTCTGTCTGGCAAGCGCACGCGCCCTATAGTGAAAAATCTCTCTAAAAATAAATAAATAAATAAAAATAAAATAAAATAATCAAAATGACAGTAAATAAGAAGTGATTCTCTCCAATAGATGAGATGAAGGTGCATGACCCTCTTCTCTTTTTATCGCCTTTTCTATATGTCTAGGGTTATATGGGACTTTTTTCTTCATGAGTTTTAGACTTTTCCTTGAATTAATACATACTTTTTAGCTACTCATAAGCCACCACTTAATGTTCAGCAATAAAGAATCAGATTCAGGGACCAGCATTTAGCATAATGGCTAAGTCGCTGGACTCCCATGTAGTGGACTATGGTTCGAGTCCCGGACCCGGTGGCTTAAACTCAGGCCAGGCGCTTGTGCATGCGTGCCCAAGATCCCGAGAGGAGAATGGAAGAGAAGGGGTTACGACTTGGCCATCCTCCCTGGGGGGTGATTTCTCGCTTTCTGTCTCTCTGTCTGTCTCTCTCGCTCTCTTTCTGGTGAGCGTACGTACCCTATAGCAAAAAACCTCTCCAAAAAAAAAAAAAAAGAATCAGATTCAAACTCTACCCTGTGAGTTCTCTTATAATGAACAGAGCAAACACGAAAAACACCTGGGGGAGGGGAGCTGCTTATTTGATGCAAGGGTTATTCATAGTACAGTGTTTGGGTATGTTTTGGAGCCAATTCTTGTTGCCTAAGGGTATTTCTAAATTGAATCCCAGGAAGAAAGTGTTTATAAATAGTAAGCATAAAAAATGAACACATTCATCCTAGCCATCCCTTCATATAGTCCCTGGGGCCTCCCATTACAACTACCAACTACCTTACAGTTAATCGGTTAAATTAGTGATTCTCAACCTTATCAGACCCAAAGCCCGATTTCATAAGACGTATTTTTAACCTCTTTTAGTATCCTTAAATAATAAGAAACTTATAATGATATAATAACTATTTTATCTGTAAACACTCTATTACATAGAAGCAGTCGTAAAATTGGCAAACATTTACACCTAATGTAGATCACCAGAATGTTATCTGTAATGTTGTAGGTAATGAGAGTTGGTAAGAGCAACGTAGATTGATACACATGTGCTACGCTGGTGATTCAGAGTGATTACACAATGCATAATCTTCCCTCAATTTACATACTCATTTTGTACCTCAGAAATTCATCATTTATTGAAATTATGAAAGCTTCTTTGTGCTTATATGTAAATGAAGTTAGCATCTAGGTTCAAATCATTATAAGTGAGTTTTGTTTTGTTATGGTTTGGTTTGGCTTATTTTTTTTTTTTAAGAAGTTTTTGCCATAGGTGCATGCACTTGCTGGAGAGAGAGAGAGAGCAAGCAAGACAGAGACAGTGAGAGAGAAAGTGAGAAATCATTCCCTCAAGGGGAATGGCCATGCCACAATCCTTTCTTTATTCTCCTCCTGGGATCTTGGGCACACATGCATACATACCCAGTATGATTTTCAAGCCACCTGGTCCAGGACAAAACCACTGTCAGCAATGGAGGAACCCCGTAATGTAACTACTATGCCATCTGCTGGCCCCTATAAGTGAGTTTTAACTCCTAAGTTGTGTCCACTGTGACATTCAAAAGTTTGCAGGATGTAGGCAAATGTTGGTTGTGGCCCTGTCCTGAGCTCATCTAGCCGCCTTCTAAATGCCAGTAATGACACCCTCACAGTGTCATTCAAGAACGACCTCTTGCATTTCCCCAAAGCCTCCTAATTGATAATCCCTATGTTAACTCTAAGTATTAGATTTAGCCCCAAATAATAATTACGATTTATTCTCCTGACTTTTTGTAGTCCTTGAAAAGAAATGTCTAGGGTAAAATCCTCAATAATTTAGCTCATTATGAAACTGTTAGTTATGTGAGAGCAAAGTCAAGTTCATGCGGCATGTGCCGTAGCTCAGTAATCAACATAAGATGTTGAATGAATAATTTTAGAGCTTAGATTGCTGGGTTGAAAAAGATATACAATATTTACAAGAAATAGTTTTGTTACTTTGCAGTATGTACAGCAACACCTAGATGTTCACTCGCGAGACTTGTAGTTAAGAATTATTTGAAGATACCATTCCGATTGTTTCTTTTTGAATGAGTGACATTAAACCATTTGAAGACATATGGCACCTGTCAAAGTTGCAGTCTTCATGTCATTTTGAGCAAAGAGAGAAAACATGTTGAAGATTCTGTATGAGTTGTGGCCTTTGCCCAAGAGATTTATTTAATCTCACAGTGGTCTGTGAGGCAACACTTATTAATCTTATGTTTTTAAATGAGGAAACCAAGATTAATCAAATAATCTGCTTCGAGTCAGTTACTTGGTTCAACAGCAGAACAGAACTTGAATCCACAACTGGTTCCAAAGACTGCCTTTCTTAAGAAATGATACTTCCCTCCTTAGGTGAGGCAAAGCTAGGTTTCTATAAATATACACCTGAAACATGATTACTTATGATTATGTGAGATCTTCCTTCATATAATTTTATTCTCTATTGGTTCTAATGGTCATGGCTATTAAATTGCACCTTCCAAATTGTTCAGAAATTTTTACTTTGAGCCTATTCTTGTCCAGGTTCTAAGATTCTAGATCATGTGAGAGATGACATACTGTACTTCGGAGGGCAGGGTCTGTGTCCTCTTCATCTGCAGCCTAGCATGGTGCCTGGCATACAGTGGATATTCAGGGAGTGTTTGTTGAGTTGACTTTAATTGAAGGATGTTTCTTCTTTTAGGCCTTGGCCTTACACGATATTTCAGCGAGGCTTTGACCTGGTTTTGGGAGAGCAGCCCTCTGATAAAATATTCAGGTAAGTATTTGTCTAGGGACTCATTTATGTGTGTCTGTAAGTCCCATGTCCCACTTCCTCTGAACTTTTTTTTCTAGTGGTAAAATACAAGATGAGAAACACTTTAGTTGTTCTGCCTACCTAGAAACAAAAACACTTGCTTCCACATCATGCCCAGTGATAGCATGGAGGATTTGGGAATCAGACAGATGCTGTTTGGGTCCTGGCTTCCTTCCTTGTTAGCTCTGTGAACTGCACAATTTACCTAACCTCTCAGAGCCTCCAGTTTCTGCATTTTACATGTCCAGCTGCATTGGTGTGAGGGAAATATAAGTCCCTGTCACAGAATCTGGCATGGAGCAAGCAATTAATGTCAGGTTCTGCCTCCCCATTTTGCATCTAATTTACATACTTTTCATAGAGTCTTAAGTTGTCCATAATTAATCCTTCCCACCCCTGTCTTACCTCTTTTATAAACTTCATTATTTTCTTTTTGCTACTACTCTATCCTGATCAAGTTGGATGACCCTAGTCCCTCCCAAATTTCTACCTACATACATACCAGGGAATAGCACATATTGGAAAGGTCCATAAGCAGAGGAAGAATTTGGGTGCCAGTCACAACCTATTGGATTTTCAGAAAATTTAATTCACACCAGGTCTTTGCTAGAACATGAGTTTGTTTCCAAACTCAGATCTTATTCTCTACATATCTGTCAATCTAACCTCCACTCAAGTGACTTGGTCTGGCAATATGGGCATGAGTACATCACCCTCCATTAGCAAGCCCTCTTTTAGAGGAAGTGAATAGTCTTTTGCAAGTGCCTGATGCCAAAAATAAATTCAACTACTACATGTCATTGTTGGAGAAATGGTGAACAGTGTGGAGCACATGGAAGGCTCACATCCTTTTCACTAGGTTCATGCAGTTTGCTTATGTACTGTTACCTTTCCAAACCCCTTCCCCAGACCCTCCTTCCAGCCATTCCTGGCCTACATGTTAATCGTTGTTCCTGCACTTGCCTCTTATATTACAGTTCTCCGCCAAGCTGCTCTAGCTTCTTCTGGTAGCGTGGGATGGACTCAGCTTGGCTAAAGCAGTGTTTTCCTCGGGCACGCTCCTAGCTAGAGTGCAGATTTACAGGACTGCTCCCTCCTAGGGCTTTCCGTTGCCCTGTTCTCTCAAGGGTGACTTTCCCATGGCAGGTTAGGTCATGTTAATGGCATTGGCCACAGGCTGCTTTTGAGGATGTGAGCTGCAAGAGATGTCAGCTATATTTCTTGCTCTGTGACTTGGGCATTTAAACTTCCCAACAGTGTTTATCATTTGGCTGACTTTTTCTCCCTTTTTTCTAGTGCTAGTCTGCCAGGCCCTTTGACGAGTGATAAAGATAAGGCAGATGGAGAGACTGGTGGGTTTTGGCTGATTAACATGGATAAGTTCCCTGTTCCCTAAAAGTTGAAAACTAACATTTTGGAAAATGAGGGTCTTAATGAAATTGTTGTTTGAGGAGAACTGCACAAGCACTATTTTTTTTTTCAAATTTTTTGAGCCACCTGATGTGATATTCAAGCATTACAGAGGGCATCAGTTATGTGAGCAAAGAGAGAGGTTAATTATGAGGTTAATTATTTCAGGTATCAGTGGGTTAATCAATAAGTAATTAATAATAACAGGGTTTTTTTTTAAAGAATTATTTTATTTTATTTTACTTATTTATTCATTTATTTTAATTTGACCAGAGAGAGAGAAAGTGTGAAAGCAAGCTGCCAGATTCAGAGCTTAAACCATAGTCAGCCATGTGGGAGTATCCAGCGCTTTAACCACCATGCCACCTGCTGGTCCCAATAACAGTTCTTAACATAATGATAACCTAGTCTCTCAAATGACAGTAACAAGTCATGATTTACTTATTTTAGGTATGAGGAACTTTAATCAAAACCACTCTAGGATCTGAGTAAACCAAATACTATATGGCCATTCTGGAAAAATCTATTGTCTGCTTACATGACTTTAATTGGTTATTGCTACTTTGCTTGTCATGATTTAATGTCGATATAAATTCCAAAGTACTGTACATTTTCCTGATCTATAGAATAAAGTTTCAATTCTAATATTCAAATCTTTCCATCGTTGAATGCCAGTGTACCACTCCCTCTAAATAAGTTGTTCTTCTTCTGTGGCACTGTGGACAGTGGCATTGTCTTCTAACTGATCCACTGCCCATATAACTTGAAGATCCTCCTCCCCTCTGCACATCCGTTCATGTTTTTTTCTCTAGTAAAACTGCATATTCTCCTCCTAATATAAATACCATGTTTTCATAGTCTAGACCCAGTCTCTGCTAAACCCAATGTCTGTTGAGTATCTTCTACTACAAAACACTGTTTCAGATGCTGTAGATATGACCGAACAAAATAGCCAATATAGTTCTTGACTTCAGGAATTTATAGTCTCACCCAGAAAGTAGCCTCCAACCCTGATCCTCTGTGAAAATACCCAGCAAGCTTCAAAAATGCTTGAGGATTTTACTCAGCACAAACCAATTAATCAAAATATTCTAGAAGGTGTGGTCAGGGCAGGAGTGTTTTTTACAAGCATTATGGTGCTTCTAATCTGCAGCCAGGATTCAGAAACGCTGTGTAAAGCTTCTCCAATCTACTGCACTAATCCACAATGACTTTTCCCTCCAATTCTAAATGACATACTGACTATAATATTTAATGTCAATTATTTTATTTTCTGATTATTTTTAACTTGCCTATTGTTTTTCCAGTGAAATGGTCTTCTTAAAGGAGAATGTTACAATTTTAAATATATGACCTTAAATATTTAATATCTAACATAAAATTTTGAATGCAGTAGAACTTGAATAGATATTTGCAGATGCTCATTTAACATCCTTCCTAAGGTCTTGAAACCAGACCCAACCTAACCTTGGTAATCTGCAATCCCAGATGCACAGTTTTCTCTGATAGTTTGTTCTATATTTGGTTTTTGGAGAAACTCAGTAGATTTTTCAGATGAAAGAAAAGTTTATAATTTCAAAAGCATGAGCCAGCATGGGCTGGAAAGTATCCAAGCTAGAATCAAAGTGTCCCAGAAGACTTCAAACTGAGTCTTTTCACCGAACTCATTCTAGTGACAAAGATTCTTTTCTATTGTAGCTGGGATCACTTCATTCCATTAGACTTTGTGGTGTCAAGGATTGGTACAGACCAAATTTACCTTTCAGGGACCTTCCTCCCAAATGTACCCTGGTGAACAATACTTTATTCTGAACAGCCTACTCTGGGAAAAGCAAAGATGCCAAGTCAGGAGCTGTTTCCCAGTTTTACCGCATCCTACTTTATGCCAAGCCATGACGGGAACACAGACTTCCTCTGCTGAGCACTCTCTGGTGAACTTTTGCCTCTGAACAAAAATTTCAAACTCCACCTGAGCAGAGCTGCGTGCAGGATACAGCACACAGCTGAGCCATGAACAGCAATGGTCACTACCAACTGTCACAAGAGAAGGCCCAACCTGGGAAAGCATTCCAGATGCTCATCCAACTTCCACTGGGTGGCTTTTTGAGATTGCTGCTGCCAAATCTGCATGAATGAGAGACAGATGAGATTTTAGGGCACAGCTTTTCCCTGATAGCTTGCTCTATATTTGATTTCTGGAGTTAGTAGATTATGCAGCTGAAGTATAACTTTAGGATTTCATAAGAATAAGCCAGCATGGGCTAGAAAGCTGCTGTAACCCACACCTAATAACCAGACCAACAGAAATTTCTCCACTTATAGAGGGGTAACTTTGAGTAGTTTGCTAATCTTGTTAAAATATTAACTGATGAACTGGTATCATATAATGGAGCCAAATTACCAATCTTGGAGGACTGTTGTAAAGATAATGAGCCAGCTCTACAAACCACCTGCACCTTTGAGAGTTCTAAGTTCTGACTTTGCAGACCCTGCAGGGGTTCACTTTGACCCTACCTAAAAGATTACAGTGCTTTGGTCACTATATTGGTCCAGTATGGTATCTTAGAAATTGTCATGCACTTAAGAAGTTCAAACCCAATTCCATTTTTTTTAAAAAAAACATTTTTAATCTACATGTAATGATGATATATATTCATGGAGTACCATGTGGTTTTTCTTTTTAGTATAAAACTATAATGTGTGATGATTATAAATCAGAGTAAGTAGGATAGCCATCTATCAAGCATTTGTCATTGCTTTGTGTTGGGGACATTCAAAATTCTCTCTTCTAACTACTCCAGGTCCATCTTGACCATTAGACCCAGAGGTTCCTCTATATTATGCTCTACATGGAGGATGATCTTCACCAGCACTTCCACTTTCAGTTTAGGCACTGAGCTTGTCTTCCCCAGAAGTTTGTGCAGACTAAGGAACTTAACAAAGCCTTCTTCTTTTTTTTTTTTCTATCGGTCACATGCGCTCACCAGACAGAGAGAGAGAGACAGAGACAGAGAGACAGAAAGCGAGAAATCACCCCCCAGGGGGGATGGCCACGCCGCAATCCCTTCTCCTCCATTCTCCTCTTGGGATCTTGGGCATGCACGCACACACGCCCGGTGTGAGTTTAAGCCACTGGGTCCAGGACTCGAACCGCGGTCGACTACGTGGGAGTCCAGTGACATAGCCATTATGCTAACTGCTGGTCCCACAAAGCCTTCTTATTGATCATTCAATAAGTATTTGTTGAGTGCCCTCCTGGGGACAGAGGTTGTGGGGGACACAAAGATAACAAAGAACTGCCCTCTGTTGTCCAAGAGAGTACATTCTTAGTACTGATGATGAACGTGGGAGAAGACAAGGATAGTCAATATCTCAGGAGTAGCCATGGCCTCTGTGCGAGGTGGATGGAGCAGAGTCTCCTGCTCAGCCTGAAGGTTAATGGTGAAGGTCCTGGAGGCTTTCTGGAAGGCTGAGAACTTAATAGAGCCTTAAAAGGAATAGAAATCAGATGAAGAAAAGAGGGAAGAAAATTCTGAGAAGTGGAATATTAAGAGCAAAGGCAAAGAGATGAGAAAATTAGGTAACTTTAGGAACTACAGGCAGTGCATTGTAGAAACACAGAATTGGAAGCAGGGTTTGGTGAAAGAAGCTGAGGAGGTGGTTGGATGACATCTTTGAAGTCCTGAACTTTGTCTTGTTGGCATAGGGTGCTGCTAAACAGTTCCAGTAGGGGAAAGATACTAGCTCTTGTTTTTGTTTTTTGTTTTTTTGTTTTTACTGGGGAGAGAGAGAGACAGAGACGGTGGCCATGTGGAAGTCTAGTGAAGTAACTGCTATGCCATCTGCTGGCCCAAGATGCTATCTTTTCCTTTAGGAATATTACTGAGTGCCAAGGAAGAGAGGGAAACTGAGTTAGAGGAGCATGGACCGCCTCTTCCAAAAAAAGAAATGTACCATCAAAGGTGTACCAGACAATTCCCTGAAATTCATTATATAAAGTTTAAGCTGTAATTCACAGATTTGTTACTCTGTACCAATTCAAAAAAATCATTTTAAAAAAAAAGAATTAAAAAACTAACTTCTGGGACCAGTAGTTAGTATAATGGCTATGTCGCTGGACTCCCACGTAGTCGACCGCGGTTCGAGTCCTGGACCCAGTGGCTTAAACTCACACCGGGCGTGTGTGCGTGCATGCCCAAGATCCCAAGAGGAGAATGGAGGAGAAGGGATTGCGGCATAGCCATCCCCCCTGGGGGGTGATTTCTCCCTGTCTCTCTGTCTCTCTCTGTCTTCCTGGCAAGCGCACGTGCCCTATAGCAAAAACCTCTCCCAAAAAAACCCTAACTTCTATGTCCCATCAGCTGCCTTCCTCCGTGAGACCATTCAAATTTATAGATGTTCTTTATGAAACAATATATTATAATATTGGCAGTGCCCCCCACCCCAACCTACTTATTACAATGATGCTATCTCAAGAATGTCCATTATGAAATGCCAAGTGAAATCATACAAGTTCTTGGAAGGTATTTTCTTCAACCTATATTCATCCATAAATCCCAGATTCTAGGCACCTTGAGGCAGTCACTTATCCAGAATCAACTCGTTAATCTTGCCAGATAAAGTGTGTGTGTGTGTGTGTGTGTGTGTGTGTGTGTGTAAGGCTGTCATGCCTTCAGTTTCACCAGCTACATCAGAGAGAATAAAGCAATGGGCTTTTTATTTTATATTTATTTATTTATTTCTTGCTCCCCAGGTAAGGGCTTTCCTTATTTGCTTCAGGTGCCTCCTGCACAGACCTAGCCCCACTTGGTGCCTCATGCCCCTTTAGGGGGATGTTTCCACAGGCTCCTTCAGAGCAAGAGCACCTCCAGTATTTCAGTGCTGCTTAATGACAAGGTTTGCCCAACATGTGTAAGAAGTAGGACCAAGAGTTAAGATGGAAATGGAAGGAAATTGCCTAAATTGTCACATCTCTCTCCTCAGTGGCCATGCCTGTCCATGGGAATCCCCTGCAGTCAATATGGCAGCTGCTCTAGCACCAAGGGGTCTCTGTCAGAACGTGGGTGACGATCCTGAAGTGTGGCTGCCCCGTACCTACATAAACCCTAGTCAGTGGTTCTGCAGCCAGCATTCAGAAGAGGACCAGATTTTTTGTAAAAGATCACAAGTCATCAGCCTGATTTCCTAGTACCTCAGGCAACCCAGGGAGGGGAGCAGAAGGAAGCAGAATTCTGACCTGCAGCACTGTGACTGGCGTGCTAATGGATCAAGGGCTGGGCTCTGTTTAATAGCAAGCATCCTTCCATTGTTCCTCCCTCCACATTAAGTTGGGAGGGGACGCCAGACTGCCACAGCCTCGTGACATCCCACCCACACTGGCTTTTATCCCATAGACTATTTTTGACTGTGAACACAGAGCATTTGAATGCCTTTGAAATGAAATGAATGAATAAATAAACAAATAATCTCTCATGGTTTCCTTAAGCTTTCCCTTGAAATGCTGATGGATTCTTTTATTCCTTTTAGCCGTTGTTATAAGAATAAAAGAAAAAAAAAAAGAAAGAAAGAAAGAAAGAAAGAAAGAAAGAAAAGAAACTTCCCTGTATCCCAAGGGTGAGCACTGTTAGCTAAGGGTGTGGGTAGGAGAGCAGAGAATACAGCTGGGCCTGTTTTGTTCATTTGTTCATCCCCCCCTTTTCTTCTCCCTGAAGGCTCCTGGCTTCAGTAATTTCTGTTCCTGCCATAGGAAGCCAAAGAAGGGGAGCTTTTTTCCTTCCTTTTCCTTGTTAGGTTCTTCCAGGCACAAAGAGAAACCATTGCTACCACTGTGGTAGCCATGGGGATGGTGGGAGCCCACATTTCTCTTCAATTAAAATGCTTCCGATTATATCTGACTCGAAACAGGGAAATCCCAGCTTCAAATCTGAAGACAGCTGGAACTTGCTTTTTATGACTTGATGAAAAACCACTCCTGATAGCCAGTGAGCAGGCGCCATGATCAGTTTTCCAGCTCTCTGGCTCTGTGAACAGGACCAGGCCATCTCATCTCCATTCGGTCATCTCATCTATAAAATGGCACTCTGTTCCCCTTCCTGCAGAGGACTGAGAAGGGTGAGAAAGAAGCTGCTGGTGACAGAAAGCTGGATCCTCCAGTAGAGGTTGGCCGCACCTCGTCCTAACCACCTTGTGTTGGGTGCCCCTACAGGTTCACCTACACCCTTGGCGAGGGCATGTGGTTGCCCCTCAGCAAGAGCTTTGTGATTCCACCCGCTGAACTGGCCATCAATCCATCTGCAAAGTGTAAGACGGACATGACAGTGATGGAGGATGCTGTGGAGGTCAGGTGAGTCTGTTCAGGGTACTAAACTTGCATCTGACTTGGGAGACTGAGTGAGGAAATATCTGAAGATTCTAGACTCTGAGAAAGGAGTCATGCGTGACAAGCTGAAAGTAGAAACTGGCAGTCTGCCCTCAACTTCCCCATACATGGTGCCAGGATCTGCTCTTTATCTGGGTCAATATTGCATACCCCAAGGCTCATTCACTGGAAGAAGACATAAAATTAGAGTTTGCAAGCACTTCTTACATACCCTAAGGACTGACAGGCAATAAAATGTTAATTTCCTTGCCCAAGTTTAAACCTCCTTCTTTGACCAGCATTACAGCCTTGGCTCATTTCCCAGATACAGAAAATGCCTGTAATTTGTTAGTTCATGGTTCGGAGTGTGGTTGGTCTTCAATTTTTATAAGAGAGGGTTAGACACGATCCAGTTGACCAGATAGGGACATGGAATGTGATGCTGCTTGTAGTGTCTTGAATCCCCTTCACTCCTCCCTGTCTTTCACTGCTTCTTCCCGTAGGGAGGAGCTGATGACTTCATCCTCCTTCGACAGCCTGGAGGTCCTCTTAGACTCTTTTGGGCCAGTGCGTGATTGCAGCAAGGACAATGGTGGCTGCAGTAAGAATTTCCGCTGCATTTCAGATCGCAAGTTGGACTCCACTGGTTGTGTGGTATGTCTGCCCTGCCGAATTAGGAGTTTCTGTCAGGGGAGGGAGGGAGGGAGAGAGAAGACACAAGGTGCAATGCAATGCATGTATGTAGGTGAAATGTACATGATTCATACGTAGCCACCATCTAGTCTAAATTAGGAATTTTCTCTTGATAGGCACAAGAAGCTGATCACCACTCAGCTAATCAAGGAGTACTTATGGGCACCAAACTATGTGTACTCTAACTATCCAAGGGGAATTTCATAAATTATAGAGCATGATTTTTTTCTTTCTAGTCTTGCGAGATAGTTGGTGAGAATTATTTGAGAACTAATTAGTTGCTTAATGCCATGACGATAACTCTAAATGTAATAAGAAATTTTAGGAGAAATTGACCTAAAGCTCACATCATGATAAAAGTTATGTCAGGAATGACAGAGAAAAAATTTAAGTAAACATTGTGTCCTTTGAGACCACAGCAATAAACTCCTTCTCCAATGGTGGGTTTCTATTTTTTCTACTAGCTTTATGAAATTGGGCTACCTTAATGCTGAGCCAGCTGGTGAGGCTGTGTAATGTGATGCTCTGTGATACTGGACACATAGGAAGGTCTCAGGTTTGCGTTCTGAGGCTCCTTTGTATATGCATGCCTGTGATCTGGCCTGCTGTGGTTGGGGGTGGATGGCATCCTGGGGACACCATTGGGAGTGACTGTCTCTCTACCTCTGTCTTCCTCTCTCATGGAAGAAAAAAAGAAATAAACTTTCAAAACACTTAAAAAATATGTGCAGCTTTTATCTAATAAGACTATTTGAACTAAGTGTTTTTTATTGGCCACCATCTTGCCTGTCAACATGATGGTCTGTCTCCCTCCCTCTCTTCATTAAAGAGCAGAAAGATGCAATTGTCAAGAGAGGAAAGGGAATGAGATAGAGAAGGAAGGCAGAAAATCCGTGGAGAGTGAGCATAGAGGAGAGGTGATTCTCTCAGACACATGGTGCTGCAGCATTAGGGGGAAGTGCCAGGAGCCTCTAGTTCCGGGGAGGATACAATGCCCCATCTTGCTTCCCAATCTGACAGCTCTGCTGTGTGAGGGGACCCAGAGCAGGGCAAGCTGTGAGGATGCTGAGCTAATGCCATTGTTCATGCTCCTCTGTTCCCCTTCTGAACACCTGTTCTGTTCTGGGAGCTGCTCTCCATCAAAGATGGATATGTACCTGGGGTCCTGGGTAGGACACTCCTAGCTCTATGGCCTCGCCAAACTTTTACCAACTAGGCAGCAGCTGACAGGAACCTTGTTCGTGTGAAAAGGTAAAGAAAATAAAGATATGAAAAGTTTTTTTTGAAGGCAGGTAGGATGAGAACCTGGCATATCATTATAAAGAGGGAAGGAAGAATGAGGGCTATCTGGAAAATATAAGGAAAATGCTTTTCCGGTCACATCTTCCAAAGGCACCTGGGGATAATCTGACATACCATAGCGTTCCCCTCCCTTTGGCTGGTGCATGCTCCATGGTGTAAGCTGTGAGCTACTGGTTGTGTTCCTCAGGAGACAATACCACTGAACTCTCAGTTGGGACACAATTAAGACTTATTTTTGTTCATTTTCTTTTCTTTTTTCTTTCTTTTTTTTTTTTTTCTTTTTTTTTTGCTATTTAGCCTGCATTTCTTTATTCAGACATTAACCTGTCATTCCTCATTGCTGTCTGGAGTCACTCTAAGTATAGAAACACATGCCTATACTCTCCTCAGTCCCATAAGAGTTTGAGCATGCATACACACATACACACACGAATATACTCTTCCTCTCTTGCCGCTTCTCTGCTCCTTCCTGAGCACGTCAAGGTTTTCCTGTTGGATGCCTCCTGTTGGTGGTCCTAGCCCCTTTTATGTGGCATATAGCTCTGCTGATAGATTTTTGTACTTTTAACACTGTGATCTGTGAGACGGAGCTAGCAGGAATAGTTACAATGAATATGCATTTGCTATAAGGCTGCTGCACTTTAGAATTGGAGCCACCTCAGAAAGTCATCCAATTATAACAGTACTTGGCATTAGCATATTACTTGGAAGTCACTGGTTCCACATGACTCCTAGAGGAAGCAGGCGAGCAGGCCGATTGGCAGGCACATTCAATTCACTGCTTCTCATTGGCCATGAAGCAGATGATCACTGAGGCAGGAGGACTGAAGGGCTGAGAGCTCGTGTGTCCCACCATGATCCTTGTGATCCTCCTGAGAAGGAGAACAGGGACCTGACTTCCTGGCCATCAGTACTGTCCCTCAAGTATGTGAGCAGGTGGCTTGGTGGTTAGGTGCTGGACACTCCCACATTGCCAGGACCTGGTGGTTTGCTTTCTGACCTTCTCTCTCTCTCTTTCTCTCTCTCTCTCTCTCTCTCTCTGTCTCTCTCTCTGTTTCTCTCTGGTCAAAATTTAAATAAATAAATAAATAAATAAATAAAAATAAATTATGTTAGCAGAATGGTTTCTTGTTGGGAGGTGGACTAGGGACAGGGGCATCAGCTGCACCACCTGCAGTTTGAGAATTGGGCTGCTTTCCTTCTTTCCTTCCACATTAACCCTATATCCAGTCCTCTGGGTGCTGAAATGTAAGGCTTCCCAAGAAAGGCATACTTTTTATTAAAGGTGAAAGAGGTGCAAAACTCAGAACCTGTTAGCCCTTCAGGAACCTAGGAAAGGGACTGAGATGTGGGAAGAGACAGAGCTCATACCTATATATTCCCCTGACTGAGTGGTAACCAGACAGGTGGTATTCACTATCTGGTGACATTAGCCGCTCAACCTCCATTCTTTCTAGAAGGCAGGGCACGTCTCTCAGTTCTGCACGGACTCCCGCAGGGTTAATTGCTACCCAGTTAATTGCTCTGGTGTTTATATAGACTCTGAGGACAGAAAACAAATAGCCAAGAAAGGCACAGATCCATGCTAACCACAGTCATGCTCTTCCAAGACTGACCACTCTCCAAAAGGCAGGAATTGCTGAAGCTTCAGGAGGGTCCCCAGAGCAGAGGTCGCTGCCCATCACTGATGGCCAGATCTTATTCATGAGCCTAATGTGCCCAGTGGGAGCAGTGACCCCACTCTGAAGCATGAGTGCGGCAGTTCTGTGTTCCATAGGGCCCCATAAGGTCTTCCAAGAGTACTGTACAATCTTTGTATTGTTTCACTGCTGCTGTAACAAGTTACCATAGATTTAGGGGATTAGAGCTACACAAATGTACTGTCTTACAACTCTGAAAGAGACTCCAACATGAGACTCACAGGCCTAAAAGCAAAGTGTCACCAGGGCTCTGTCCTTTCTGGAGGCTATAGGGGAGAATTAATTCCCTTGCTTTCTCCTCTAGAGTCCACCTACATTTCTTGGTTTATGTCCCCATTCTCCATCTTCAAAGGCAGCACAGTGAGTTTTTCTGACCGTTCTTTCATAGTGCCCCACCCTTTCCCTCTCACTTCTGCCTCCCTCTTCCGCTTCTAAGTACTCCTGTGATGACATTGGACCCATTGAGACAATCCAGGCTAACCTCTCCATTTCTAGATTCTTAAGTTAAACACATGTACAGTCCTTTATGCCATGTTTGATGACACGTGTATAAATTCCTGGGATTATGTTGTGGACATCTTTGGAGGGACCATCCCTGGGGAATGGCAGTGGGGATTGGAGAGACTTTCTCAGTAGGACTGCACGTCTACACTTCCAGGCTTAACCATTGTCCTTCTTATCAAACCTACCCATTAGGGTTCAATATAAATTTGTGTTTAAAAGTTTGACAGCAGGGGACCAGCAGATGGCATAATGAGTATGTCGCTGGACTCCCATGTATTTGAACTTTGAATCCCAGACTTGGTGACTTAAAACTCACACTGGGCATGTGTGCATTAGTATCTAAAATCCCAAGAGGAGAATGGAGAAGGAATTGCAGCGTGGTCATCCCACCGGGGGTAATTTCTCACTTTCTTTCTCTGTCTCTCCAGCGAGTGCAGGCGCCCTGTAGCAAAAATCTCTCTCTAGGGACCAGCAGTTAGTGTAATGGCTATGTCGCTGGTCTCCCATGTAGTCGACCACGGTTGGTGTCCCAGACCCAGTGGCTTAAAACCCACGCCGGGCGTGTGTGTGTGCGTGCCCAAGATCCCGAGAGGAGAATAGAGGAGAAGGGATTGTGGCGTGGCCATCCCCCTTGGGGGGTGATTTCTCGCTTTCTGTCTCTATGTCTCTCTCTGTCTGGCTGGCGAGTGCACACGCCCTATAGCAAAAACCTCTCAAAAAAAAAAAAAACTCTCTCGACAAAAAAAGAAATTTAAAAGCAATTTTCAATGTTATAGTAAAAAAGGAGGGACAGCTTATACTGTAATACTTCTTTGCTTTGTAAACGTTTGCATGTACTTAGGTGAACAGACTGTGCTGTGGGAGGGAAACGCCTTGCTTTCTTATGTTGTGCGCACATGACCTTCCTTGATGGAAGCGCTAATGAGCTTTGAATTACTCAGTGACCCTGCCGCCCTTCCCTCCACATGCTGTCCACAATGGTTTCCCATGATATGTGTCATTTCTCCTCTACTGGAGCACAGATGTGTGGAGACCATTACGGATGACCATCTCTCCTTCTCTCAGTAGGACAGTAAGCAGAAGAGTATACCTCAGAGGCTTTCAGAGAAACGGGGGCAGGAAGTTCTCACAGCCTGAAATATAAATGTAACTCCATCAAACTTTTCCCCTTGAGAGAAGTCCTGCATAGCGCAGGCTTGCATGTCAGAGTCCATCAGAAAGCTGTGGGAATCATTACTTGTGAAAGGAGTAGGGCTGCCATCTAGTAAAGAGAGCCCATGTCAAGTAGGAAGCATGGCTACATGTGGTAGGAAATTTTCCAGGTAAGGTGAGGCAGGCTCAGCTGTAGGAAGGTATCCCTCTTCTCCCCAAGACCCAAACATGCTCATATGTTCATCGCTCATATGCACTCACCAACAGGGCATCCACTTCATGATCTGGAATGAGGTGGTGTGT